CAGTCTAAGAAGGGGTTCTTGCATGTGTTACAAGGTGTGAAATTGAGCTCAGCTCAATGTCCGACCACGGCAGAAGATATAGAAGAGATGAGTGTCATCCCCTATGCCTCAGCCATAGGTTCTATTATGTATGCCATGCTGTGTACCAGACCTGATGTAAACCTTGCCGTAAGTTTGGTAGGAAGGTACCAAAGTAATCCCGGCAAGGAACACTGGACAGCGGTCAAGAATATCCTGAAGTACCTGAAAAGGACTAAGGAAATGTTTCTCATTTATGGAGGTGACGAAGAGCTCGTCGTAAAAGGTTACGTCGACGGCTAGCTTCGACACAGATCTGGATGACTCCAAGTCACAAACCGGATACGTGTATATTTTGAATGGTGGGGCAGTAAGCTGGTGCAGTTGCAAGCAGAGCGTCGTGGCGGGATCTACATGTGAAGCGGAGTACATGGCAGCCTTGGAGGCAGCGCATGAAGCAATTTGGGTGAAGGAGTTCATCACCGACCTAGGAGTCATACCCAATGCGTCGGGGCCAATCAAACTCTTCTGTGACAACACTGGAGCTATTGCACTTGCCAAGGAGCCCAGGTTTCACAAGAAGACCAGGAACATCAAGCGTCGCTTCAACTCCATTCGTGAAAATGTTCAAAATGGAGACATAGATATTTGTAAAGTACATACGGACCTGAATGTAGCAGATCCGTTGACTAAACCTCTCCCTAGAGCAAAACATGATCAACACCAGAATTCCATGGGTGTTCGATTCATCACAATGTAACTAGATTATTGACTCTAGTGCAAGTGGGAGACTGTTGGAAATATGCCCTAGAGGCAATAATAAAAGTATTATTATTATATTTCCTTGTTCATGATAATTGTCTTTATTCATGCTATAATTGTGTTATCCGAAAATCGTAATACATGTGTGAATAATAGACACCAACATGTCCCTAGTAAGCCTCTAGTTGACTAGCTCGTTGATCAACAGATAGTCATGGTTTCCTAACTATGGACATTGGATGTCATTGATAACGAGATCACATCATTAGGAGAATGATGTGATGGACAAGACCCAATCCTAAACATAGCATAAGACCGTATAGTTCGTTTGCTAGAGTTTTTCCAATGTCAAGTATCCTTTCCTTAGACCATGAGATCGTGTAACTCCCGGATACCGTAGGAGTGCTTTGGGTGTACCAAACGTCACAACGTAACTGGGTGACTATAAAGGTATACTACGGGTATCTCCGAAAGTGTCTGTTGGGTTGACACGGATCAAGACTGGGATTTGTCACTCCGTGTGACGGAGAGGTATCACTGGGCCCACTCGGTAATGCATCATCATTATGAGCTCAAAGTGACCAAGTGTCTGGTCACGGGATCATGCATTACGGTACGAGTAAAGTGACTTGCCGGTAACGAGATTGAACAAGGTATTGGGATACCGACGATCGAATCTCGGGCAAGTAGCATACCGATTGACAAAGGGAATTGTATACGGGGTTGCTTGAATCCTCGACATCATGGTTCATCCGATGAGATCATCGAGGAGCATGTGGGAGCCAACATGGGTATCCAGATCCCATTGTTGGTTATTGACCGGAGAGCGATCTCGGTCATGTCTACATGTCTCCCGAACCCGTAGGGTCTACACACTTAAGGTCCGGTGACGCTAGGGTTGTAGGGATATGTATATGCAGTAACCCGAATGTTGTTCGGAGTCCCGGATGAGATCCCGGACGTCACGAGGAGTTCCGGAATGGTCCGGAGGTAAAGCATTATATATAGGAAGTGCTATTTCGGCCGTCGGGACAAGTTTTGGGGTCACCGGTATTGTACCGGGACCACCGGAAGGGTCCCGGGGGTCCACCGGGTGGGGCCACCTATCCCGGAGGGCCCCATGGGCTGAAGTGGGAAGGGATCCAGCCCAAAGTGGGCTGGGGCGCCACTTCCCCTAGGGCCCATGCGCCTAGGGTGGGGGAAACCCTAAAGGGGGGGCGCCCCCTTGCTTGGGGGGCAAGCCCCCCACCCCTTGGCCGCCGCCCCCCTAGGAGATTGCATCTCCTAGGGCCGGCGCCCCCCCTAGGCCCCCCTATATATAGTGGAGGGGATGGAGGATCTCTTACCTTTTGCCTTTGGTGCCTCCCTCTCCCTCTCCAACACATCCTCCTCCTCCATAGAGCTTGGCGAAGCCCTGCCGGAGTACTGCAGCTCCACCACCACCACGCCGTCGTGCTGCTGCTGGAGCCATCTTCCTCAACTTCTCCTTCCCCCTTGCTGGATCAAGGAGGAGATGTCACGCTGACCGTACGTGTGTTGAACGCGGAGGTGCCGTCCGTTCGGCGCTAGGATCTCCGGTGATTTGGATCACGTCGAGTACGGCTTCCTCATCCCCGTTCTTTGAACGCTTCCGCGCGTGGTCTATAAAGGTATGTAGATGCAATCCGATCACTCGTTGCTAGATGAACTCCTAGATGGATCTTAGTGAAACCGTAGGAAATTTTTTTGTTTTTCTGCAACGTTCTCCAACAGAAAAATGGTTTGGGGCTTTGGAGCATATCACTAAGCATTTTGAGCAAGTAGACCATTAAGCAACACCTCATCCCTTTTTAATAGTATTGGCTTTCCTATGGACTCAATGTGATCTTAGATCACTAAAATAGAAATGAAGAGTCTTGAGCTTTTGTCAATATTTGTCCTTAGCATTTTGAGGGGTCCACATCTCTAGTCCATGCCATGCCAATCATTGAACTTAATCATCTTAAAGGGATATTAATTCAATGAGCTATATATTATTATAAATTACCAAAACCACCTAGGGATTAGTTGCACTTTCAGGACTTAAAGTAAAAAAAGAAATGATGAGAAGAACGAAAGCAAACCAAAAGTTGGAAACCAGTTAATATGCAAGCCTATTTGGAGACAGGAGAGGGCTGCAAACCTTCCTTCGCTCTAGCAATGGGTGAGAGGGCTCGGGGAATGCGCCAAAATGATATTTTTGCATGTTGTGTAGTACATTTCAATCCTCAAAAAATGCGAGTTTGGAACTCTAGTTCACGAAGACATAGCCCGTGGACAACCAATGTGTAGACAAAGCTCTTCAGTCTTCATAGACCTTCATTGTGGCAATTTTTATAGTTAAGGTGGAGGATGCAAGGGGATCACAAATGGTGCTACAACCCTGTCAGCGAAAGAGGATTTAAGACGAGAGAAGAGGGTGACAACATTGTGCTTAGGACCATAGACATTGATAGTTCCAACGCCCATGGCACCAAAGACGGAAGAGAGTGACGAAAACTACGGTTGCTCTGAATCAGCGGTCAGAATCAACAGTGTGCGTTCCTCCCTATGTCACCTCCTATTTAGGAGACAATTGCATTCTTTTATATTTGTCTCTCTCCCACTCCATCCATACCGAAGTCATATATATTTATGAACAGTTCACGTCATCATTTTGTTTTATTTTATTTTTCCTTTTTTTTAGTTACATGCTTCACCTCACTATCCAACTATTTCTTCTATCTATGCAACTCATCCACATCAATAAATCATGCATGTTTGGCACATCGTCAACATGCCATCTCATCATAGCCAATCATCACACGTTATCTAATCATTAGCCTCGCTTTTAACAAGTGTTCCGGCTGCAACGCGTTGGTTACGTTACAGCTGTAACTGGAACTCATTCGAGTGAATCTAGCTAGTCCTCCCAAAATCGAGCGAACCTGGGTTAGGCATGGATCTACACTCAATAAAAGATAGGTTAAGCTGAGCTCAATAATGTTGTAACAGGTGCTAGCGCTACAAAACAAAGTAATCTGAGGTTGGCATGCTGACAAATTTTCAGTGATGCAAGCATGTTACTTTGTGGTGGTCAAAAATAAGATGTCTGCTACATTCTTTACATATCCGGTACTATAAAGGTGAAAACATTGCACGATCAGCACTAGGATTTGTGAATTGATGTTGTTAGGTAACCCAACCAAACTCCATCATATACCCTAGTTTGTTGTGTGATAGTTTTGACCCTCGTATTCGCTACATCACATCCGTGCACGTTCTACCGATACAAGTTGGTAAGCTTTTCTAATTTATTTATTTTTGAGCACTACAAGTTGGTAAGCCTTTCTAATTCACTTTGGAGCGGCAAAGGTACCTTGTTTCTTTTAGTTTTGAGTGAATTGATCGACCTGCGGAAAATTAGTTCACAACAATGTCTGTCAATCCTACATTTCACGTTCAACCTTGCAAGCAAGATGAAATTCTAAAATGATCTGAATCTCCCTATTTAACCCACTCATAAAACGTGCAAGCATAGCTTAGCCTTCAACTAACACTAGAGATGACATGACAAAATAAGCCCGAGCCACCAAAACCATCAGAATTGTGTGCAGGTAATGAGGTGATTTGTGCGCACACAAACCAACAACCTTTTGGAGATTTGTTCCTACTGTACGTCCCAACATCAAAAGATACGATTAGCACAAAGCTTCTGAGCATTGCAGCGGAATAGATATCTAGAGTCCAATCGCAAACAATTCCTTTCTCAACCAGACAAATGCGTAAGCCCTTTACGACATGAGGGGCCACACTTCAGCGGGTCAAACAATAGACCAAATAGATACTTTGTTCCATGAGATGCCATTCCACAGGCCTTAACATTTACTCTCTTTTTTCTCAAGGTCAAGGAGCACAAAAAACAAACAACGGGACATTTTTATTTACAGTGAACACAACCTAAGTCAAACGGGAACATCTATGAGGCACAAAAAGGAGCCAAGGTGACATACTTACAGACTGATAATACATAACTGGAACCCGAAAATGCTCAGCAGCTATCTTTTCCTTCCTTTTGGTTAGACAAGATATATTTTCTCCATATTGCTGAACATTTCTGGAGTTGTGCAGACCTCAATCAGCTTAAAGTTGTGATCGAGCACATATGCACATCACACAGGCCACATGTACAGATTTGGAATGTTCAGCTTAGTTAGCGAGGTTTAAACATCATATACAGCCATGCGCTCCTCGATGGGGTTACGGCAGATTGGACATCTTTTGCACTTCTCAGCACATGACCTATACAGCAAAGAAAAATGGTAGCTTCTATTTAACAACAAACTGAAATGTGCAGTCGAAAAGATTGAGTAGGCAAGAGCAAGAGGCCGAAGCATACTTGCATAACGTTCTGTGCCGGCAGGGAAGTATGACCATGCATATTTCTCCCTCGTAGCAAATCCTACAAAGTACCTTCTCCTGAAACGAACAGAATTTGCTTGGCTTTGTCAACAGAGAATGAACGACATACCAGACAGACAACTTTGATTCCAATGAAAAGATGAGCCTGGACAAGTGAGACAAAGAGAAAGTACATTTTGAAGCCTTTCATATTCCTGCTGGGTAGACTTGGTGATTTCAGATTGCTCTCCCAACGCTGCCTGGAGTCTCCAAACCTGAAAGTGAACAAGTAGGAAAGTTGTTGCTTTTGTTGATAATCACAGGTAGTGAATAAAACTCTAATGTGGTGAATAAAACTCTAATGTGGTCAATGATTATAGAATCACAAAACAGTAAAAGGGATACCTCTTCTGCTAAATCCTTCTTGGGCATTTTCTTTACTACCTCAGGTGGGTAACCAGAGAATGTATTGTACCTGAAAACAAAGATACAGCAAAGTAGTTCAACTAGTTCAGAGACTTTGTAAACATTGACAGACAAATAGCAGCATACTAAGCAAATTAACGTAATTTATGAGTTCGTATGAATGAGCTGAAGTAATACCCGTTAGATTCAGTATAAAACAGCCGAGCTTGCTCTTCCTTGCTCCCTTCATCAATAGACCACCAACCAAGAAGCCTGAACAATATATATACGAAGCTACCATGTCAGAAGTCAGCATGAAGGCAGAATACTATTACATTGCTCCATAGTGGATCGCCAAATATAAGCGACTTAATTGGGGCTAGGGTAACGAATTGGTACAACTTTATGTTTTTTTGCGTGTCAGTACCAAGTCTGGGCAGACTAACAAATCCAGCTAAACCTCATATAAGCCCATTTTGACAGGGACCTGACGAGCAGGGCCCACTTGTCGGGTGCCAACATTTTGCAGAAACCCCCCTGCTTTATATTTAATCACGCAAAAGCCCCAATTTGCTTTTAAAAGGCCATTCTCCCTGACCTCACACACCTTCCATCACGACAAGCTCGAGCCAGAGCTCACCTCCGCCGGCAGCAGCAGCTGCGCCCCAGCGCCGCCCAGCTCCCCCTTCCTCCTGTTCCTTCTCCTCCTCCTCACTCCCGGTCTCTCATCTCCCTGTCTCTCCCGGTGCAGGCCATCGACGAACGCCCGAGCTCCCCCACCGCCGATCTGGACACTGTCCGCCGGAATCCTTGCACCGTCGGCCAGATACGGTGCCCCGCAGCCAGATCCGCCCATTCCCGCTGCCCGCAGCTCTTTTCCTCCTCAGCTCCCGCGAGTCCCATCACCCTCGTTGCCTGGTCATGATTCGGTCGCGTGCTGCTGCCTTGACCGTCCCGAGCGCGCGTACGAGCACCCTGGCTGCCTCGCCCGTCCCCAGCGCGCGTACGAGCGCCCCGTGCGCCACCAGCACCTTCGCTGCCCGAGCTCGCCATCACCATGACCTCCCGATGCACCTCCACCATTGCTTTTGATCGTCGGCGACCAAACCCCGACGCGCCGACATGGCACACTTAATTAGGGACTAATTACTCTGTTAAACACACCCCTGAGTCTGACATGCAGCCCCACAAGTAAATTAGCTAAAGTTATTCTTCTGGTTAGATTAGTGTTATTCCCAGGGCCCCACATGTCAAGTTTTGACTCGGCAGAGTCAACTTTGACCCAGCCCCCCAGGCCCATTGGCGTGATTAAATATACAGCAAGGGGATTTTCTGCAAAACAACATGCCATGTCAGCCCCTGATAAGCGGGCCCTGCTCGTTAGTTTCCCTGTCAAAATGGGTTTACGAGGTTTAGCTCGATTTGTTACAATCTGCCCCAGGCTTGGTACTGACATGCAAAAAAAAACGTAAAGGGGTACCAATTTGTTATCCTAGCCCCAGTTGTGGTACCAACGTGCAATTAACTCAATATAAGCCAATAAGAAAATAAATTGATATAATAATAGCTCATGGTAACTATCAGTTTTACCTTGACCCGTGATGAAGAAAAGCGAAACAGTCACGGACTTTTGATGATACTGTAAGGTAATTCGGACTAACTGGTCCATTACGCAATAGCAAAACAACTTTCTCCACCAATCTTCCTATCGAGAAAAGGACACCAGCTCCTTGTAGAATAAATAGTGGGGAGAAAAGAGCAAATATTGGAATGTAGCGAGCGCTAGGTGGTGTACCCTGAAAAGCAGATAAAATAAAACTACTAATCATAAGAGGGAATTGCTAACAGCAATAAGGTCATGAAGATCATTACGGATCAAATCAGTTTTCTAGCTAATGAAGCTAATGAAGGGGTATTACTTTTTACTAAACGCCCTAGTTAAATTCCAAAGATCTGTTCAGATTCAGTAGAATAAGTTGCCAATGTTTTCCAGAATTCAAATAATATGTTCTTTCGAAAGAAAGGAAGCGTTTTTCCCCTGGCAGTTTTTCATCTGCCCAGCATCTAATAGTAGATATGACCCGTTAATATCAACTATATTTCCTACGTAATATATGATTTGAATGGCATGTACCTCCAACCGCATACAAAGCAAAACTTGGAAAACCACCAGCGGTATTTTCATGAGATGACCTCCTATGTCTGGAAGACCACAAATCCTCTCTTGTTCATGGTCTTCTAGTGATGGGAGGACAAGACCACTCTCCCAATCACGATATCTAATAGCTGATGATGATGAGCTAGCCTCCCCATGAGTAGGAGGCCTATGAATCATGGGATTAAACCATCTTGTACAAACAAGAAAAGCAAAACACTCTGCGATCCTGTATAAACAAGTTGATGGGTTAGACTATTAGACATACTAGATGTTAAATAAGAATTTTATTGAGGTCAGTCTCACCCATAATTTATAAATAAATCCCACCATCCCAAGGCACCAACATCACCTGCCATATGTAATAAGCCAATATTATAAATCATATCGTGCATTAGAAGGAGGCCCAACAAAAAATTATTAACTTAGGTAATGCTTTGGGAGATCTGATAGAATGTAACTCCTACAGGTTCAGGAAGTATATAGGTAGTAGAAACCTAAGAAGCACGGATACGGGGACGGAAGCACGGGGATACGCATACGGGGATACAGGATACGGCATTTTCCAAAAACAGCCATTCGGGGATACGGCGGGGTATATAAGTATTTAGAAAAATAAATATGAAAGTATATAGAAAAATAAATTTGAATTAAGATCTAATGAGAATTTTTTAGTACTGGATATATATTGTCTCCTTTCTATTCATGAAAGACTGAGAGCAGTCCACTCACAGCCCATGTAGCTGTCCGTCCACTTAGAGCCCATGTAGCTGTCCATCCAGCACTCCAGCTGCTCCAGCCGACCCCAACCTCCCATTCTCGTACTCCCTTTCTCCAGCCGCCAGTGAAGAAAGGAAACGACAGCGCCGCCAAATCGGCAGCTTCCATCACCCATCTTCTTCCTCGCTGGCCACCACACTCCCCATCTTTCTTCCTGCCGGAGCTTCTTCCTTGTTGGCGGCCGCCTTGCCATCTTTCTCTACCAAGATCTCCTTCCTTGCTAGCAGCCATTGAGGTTACCTGCTTGACCATGGTTGCTATCGGGAGGATAACTGGGCAGCAGCATGGTCACTGGAGTCTGGCTGCCGAGTCCCCACCGTGTCCACGCCGTATCTAGGCCGTATCCCGATTTTATTTCTTTTTTTTTAATTCCAAAAAGATGGGATACTGCGGGATACGCGTATCCAGCCGTATCTGGGCGTATCCCCGTGTCCCCCCGTATCAGGACGGCAAATCGGCAGTTCTGGCCGTATCGGTGCTTTTTAGGTAGAAACTACCTATAGAGCACAAAACCTGCTCGGCAGTCTCAAAACAAGACTGTCTCACTTATAACTCCTAAGTCACCCTTCTACTGCTCTAGTAAATAAATAAAAGAACCTTAGAAAGCCTAGGTCTTCCATACTATGGAGCACTAGCATTGTACTCCCTCCGTTCCTAAATATTTGTCTTTCTAGAGATTTCAACAAGTGACTACATACGGAGCAAAATGAGTGAATCTACACTCTAAAATATGTCTATATACATCCGTATGTGGTAGTCCATTTGAAATCTCTAAAAAGACAAATATTTAGGAATGGAGGGAGTAGTAGCCATGTGCATAGAAACAAGATTCAACTGTAATCCAGAAGCACAAAACAATTGACCAACGGCATATGTTCTTTGTTAATTCTATGGTAAAGGCCTTGAGGAACTAAGGAGCTGCCTCAAAACACCCGCTAGTTTATAACCATTGAAAAAAAATAAGATGCTTGGCAAGACAATAAGATACTCGTTCTTATATGATGTAACAATTGGAAGGCGAGTCAGCAGACTTTACCAGATAACTTGAGAAGCGTGAAGGTTGTCGCAGCTATAAGAAACACCATAGAGATTGCGACCCAGAAATGCTGGTTACAAAATCAAAGGCATCTAATATAAGATAAATATTAATGGCTGTACTGTAGTTAAGATAAAAAAGTGTATTTTTTTTACAATTTGTGTAGTCAAACTGTAAGAATGTTGACAGTGATATACAACAGAGTAACATATGTTATGTTGAATGTGAAAATGCTATTCAGACTTATCTTTTAAAATACTTCCACATGGCTGTGTTTTATCAATTTGCACTCAAACATTCACCCAGTTTAAAAAACATGTCACTCTGGGATCACGCAAAAAAATGTCACTTCGGGACACATTCAGTCGAACTTCTGCAACTTTTCTACCAATATCCTTCAAATAGTACTCCCTCCGTCCAGAATTACTTGACGCTCAAATGGATGTATCTAGGATGTATCTAGCACTAAAATACATCTAGATACATCCATTTGAGCGTCAAGCAATTCCGGACGGAAGTAATTAGATTCAAGACTGGATACTTGAATATCGTTGTGTTTTAATCAAGTCTTTTGTGGAAAATGCCCATTTTCTGACCTTCAATTATTACTCAAGTTCAACTTTCACCCATAAACTCCAGGCTGTCTAGAATACACACTCGAGCTAGGAAAACGCCTAAAGCACGGCACTCCACTAACCTAGGAGGGTTTTTCCCTGATGTGAGCAACCTATTTGGCAACTGATGCTGACGTGGCACATTGCAGCATCCTAAATAAAAATAGTTGGTATTACTAGTAAGTTTTCAAATTATCTCTTGCCTCGAGTGTCATCCAATTTGGCATGCATTGCTTACATAGCACATTGGCAACAAGCCAGCAACAAACCAATTAAGTAAGCAAATAAAAATAGCTGGCCTCACACGTACTCCCTCCGTTCCAAAATAGATGACCCAACTTTGTATTAAAGTTAGTACAAAGTTGAGTCATCTATTTTGGAACGGAGGGAGTAGGTCTCTCTGCAACTCATTCTGTGGCCAACATTGTTGTCCTGAAATATCTTTGGTGAGCCACTTGTCATCGGCCGATCGGCATGCGCGCAGATCCATGCACGGCAAAGCGGTATCATCAATAGCCCAACCGAACGCACCACTAGCCAACACAAGTGAGGTCCCCTTCCCCAAATCTGGGTGTAATCGCTAGCCCAGAGCAAGCCACCTCTGTCAAGGCACGGCAAGCTGGGCGAACTACATCGAGATGACAGCAACGACCCTCCCCCCTGCTCGAGCGGAAGCAAAATCCAAAATAAGGGTGTGCAGGCTCTGGTCTAGATCCAAGTTAGGGCTGGGCCTGCTCCTCCCTACTACCTCTGCTGAGGCTCACTCTCTTCTACCATGTCCAGGTAATAGAAGGAAGAGAGGGCTGCAGATGATAACTGACATGTGGCCCCTCCATCATCAATTTAGCTAACTGTTTTGTAGACTGTTCAGCAGTTTAATGAATAAAGTGATAGTTGAACCTTCGGAGCTTGATATCTCTCAGTTGGGTTTTTGAAATATTTTAGAATGGAAGTTAGTGGTTAATGTTTAGGACACTGCCAGTGTCCAAAATAATATGATCCTGCCAACTAAAGAAATTATGATTACCAGATAAATAAAGTGGGCAAATTTGTATTCTGGAAGCTATCAATGTGTGAACTGACAACTGAAGAAGAGGGTGTTAGTATAAAAAAAGGGCAGCCAGATGCACGTAGCTCCCGCTTGCGCAGGGTGACTCGAACCCGTGACCTCATGATCAAAGGCAACAGCTTTACCGCTGCGCCAAGGCTCCAAGAGGGTGTTAGTATGTTCATATAATTTGACAAATTGTGCACTACAACTAGAGCATCAATATCAAAGAGAATGAAATGATCCAACCATACATTTGGTGAATTAGTCCTGAGGTTTAACAATTAACTGACATATTTCTGCAATGCATTATTTCATGGTGAGTTGATGCAAGACATATCAACAGCTGGGCCAAGTTTGTGTTTTGTGCTACATAGAATAATTCAAATCTCTGTACAATCTGAAAGGGGCTGTATAATGTATTCAATCTAGTAATTACTTTGCATCACATCATTATATTTTTATTTACAATCTGTTACGAACAGAAATAGAAAGTTACCAACGAAACAAAAAGTTAGGTATCTATTGCATGACTTTCAGTTCTGTAAGTGAGTGGCATCCGTATCAAAATACTCCCTCCGTCCCAAAATAAGTGTCGCTGATTCAGTACAAAGTTAGTACAAAGTTGAAAGTTGTACTAAATCAACGATACTTATTTTGAGACAGAGGGAGTATTTCTTTAGCATTATTTTTCCTTGTGAACAAAAGGAGATGTTGTAAATATATGTTCACTTCAGGGAAGAAAATTTTGAACTGTGATTAATTTCAAGAAGGTTCCACTTTCGGATCCACTAGTACGAGAAAACTTACAGGAAGCGTCTCCCAAATAGCTTCGTCGCTCATGCTTTCTTCATCCCCTGGCATTAGAGCTTTACACATTCTGAACAACAGAAAACACATAAAAGGAAACATATACAAGTTAAGATCCATAGTTACTACAATCATAATTATTGTCACATAATAACAAACTATGTTACGGTTGATAGTATACAATTCCATCCAGGGTGGTCTTTTAAAAAATAAGGTCCAAAGTTACATAACTGAAGCAGCTAAGAAGGGATTGAAATAACAATAGTTTGAAGAATTGGATGCCAATTTGCATAATGATGATTACAACTACAATTCATAACTTCAGGGTGAATACCATCATCTTATTAGTGTGTATAAATGGAATAAAAAATATAATTAAATAGAGCTGTAGATATTATAATACATTTATATTGGAATAGAGCTGTACTTTATACAACTCTAAATGCTTATTTTTACACACCAGTATCAACCAGATGTATACGATTAATCTGCACCATTGCAATCTATACCCACCAAAAGTAAACGATATAGGTCTCCGTTTTCTTTAAATAGTGTGGGAATTTTAAGTCTCCTGGAGCAAACATGGAAGCTATCTAATCTAACAGAACTCTAAACTCAGAATCAGTGTCGTTGCCATTTTCAATGCTTAAACTAAAATTCAATGTGTTGATACTTTTTCTAACACATCAATTTGGGAACAGAGACAACCATTTTACTCAGAAACTTTGTTCTGGATGAAAAATAGCGCACAAAAGGCATACATTGAGAATGGAGAGGCAAGAAAAGTGAACAGACAATTGGAATTCCTTCATGTTGTTCTAAATTAGTGGTACCATCAAGGTTTGACCAATTACTAGACAGTTGTTAGCTAAAGCAGCAATCAGCACTGAAGTTTTTTAACCGGGTAAAACACTGAAGTTGAATGCGGATTCCACACCTGGGTGCATCTGCATCATTTCAAAACTGCAATTTTTACATTTCAAAAATCTGTGGAGAAAAACATAGATGTACAACATGCTATGACATGTACACTTGCAAAAACATTATGAAAAAGTATGATCATTTGTAAATTGTACCACAAATGTGTACACCTATAACTGCTAGGTTTGAAATCATCTGGTCTTATTAGGACAGTAGACATGTAGTTATATTTTTGCACGAATTTTTGCAAATGCACATGTGGTACAAGTTTGATTTTTTGTCCAGTATAGAACGCAACTGCACCCATGTGTATGAAGCCAATTCCCTACTTAAGCTGCCCTAGTTGAATGGCTCTTGTGTGAGTGGGGGTTGTGCGAAAACGGATCTAACTGCTTCTGATGGGTGCACACCACATTAGAAATGTGGACAGATTATTCGTCTAGAATTCCAGATATAATCTGAGCAAGGTAGAAAGTTACAAGAATGATGAGCAGGAAGCACTAACATATATCATTATCATGACAGCTTTCACCTGTGCTCGTTACCTAGTCAGAAGAAGAACCTACAATCTAACAGGATAAACTATAATAATTTCAGCCAAACTTATTACAGATAATGTAAGCAAGGAAACAGGCAAATCCACTTAAATTCATGCATAACACTGCATCTGCGTATACGTAAAAATGGAAAGTAGAGTACTACTATGTAGGCATCAAAAAAGGAGAAGATATCTTACCTAAAATTGTCAACAAGAATAATCACTTCAAAAGTCAGCAGAGGAAGGAACACGATCTTCATGTCAACAGCTGGATGATTCTTAACTGTGGAAAAACAAAGGAAAGACAAGGTGGGGGGGTCAGAGAATAGAGTAGGGATAACAATAACACCAAACCATAAGATATGATTTGACAAAGCTTCATTCATCTAGCAACTTCAGCACATACCTCTTAAACTTTCAAGATATATGCAAAGAAGCAGCTCGAAGGCGATTAGCAATGGTGCTGCAACAACAGAATGACAAGGAGCCCACTACACATAGGGAACGGACTTGTCAGATACAATGCACGGCAAACAAACAACACTTGCATACGCATATGCAACAACAACAAAAAACTGCCCAAATCAGTACTAAATCTTACATGACGCCCATGAGGTAATGAAGGGGCCGGCATTGAAAACCTTCCACGGGCAGCCACTCCATGAAATAGCCATAGCGGGATGAATATAATCCTACGTAATCGAAATAAGAAGGTGATTAACAATTGATGTTAGCTTTGTCACCGCATACACACAAACCAGCCATGTACAGTAGAGCTGGGTTGCCTTGATTAGCGATGTACAGTACAGTTGGGTTGCCTTAATTATATTATATTGATATCAGAGCTCAAACTTCCTAGAAACACACAGCCATTGCGAATTAACAAGATCTCAAAGTCACGAAATTCAGCAGGGAAGCTACAGCCAGAAGCGCACTGGGTAGCATGAGCTAAATTCCAACCTGAAACACGGGCAGGCACGATTTAACACTAGATCACTCTCCCTAACTCATTCCTAACCAGAGTAACTCGCCCCAGGACAGATCAGTGCACCGCCCGAATCGAGCGGGCACAGGGAGTCTGCCCGCGGAGCGAACGCGGGCATCCGCATCGCTGGACCCTCTAGACTGAATCTGCATCCCGCGGAAAGGGAAACAGAGCAGCAGCTCGCGCCGCGCAACTAACCAACCAGGGTCGACACCAACCGGCCGAATCAGATCGACGCGGCGGCGAGCCGGGGGCGCGCGGGGAGCTAGCTAGGGTTTACGGGGCGTACCACCAGGAGGAGTCGGTGCGGCCGTCGACCCTGAGCGCGAGGAGGAGCGTGAAGCAGAAGAGCGCGGCGTGCGCCGCCGCCGCCTGCGCCGTCTTCCCCACCCCCGCCCACGTCTGCGCCCGCCGCCGCTGCATCTCTCCCCCGCGAAGCCTCCACTCTTCTCCTCCCTCTCTCAGCTCCGCCCGCGGTGGGTTGTCAGGGTGGGGGGAGGGAGTGATGGGGGATGAAGGGAACGAGGAGGAGGGGAGGGTTTCTCTCCTTCTTTACTCTCTGGCGCTGGACTATGATTGCTGGTTAACAAACAGGGCGGTACGGTACGGTCCGATCCTCTCCCCCTTGTCTCCACCTCCGGTGTTATCTCAGCAAGTTTTCCGGTGGTATATCGGGGAGGACGGATTGGGTTGGGCCGGGTCGGATAGGGCGGAGAGGAGGGAGGGAGTGTCACTTGCGCTCGCTCGGGGAAGCCAACGAGCCGGATATTTTCTGGGACGGCTCCCGCGTCCCCTCGTTGTTTTCCGCCGTAGATTCCTGCGCTTTGTTTGTTTATTCTTGTTATAATTTTTTATTGTTCGCTCGTTGGTGGCTCCGCCCGCGGCCCGACCGAACGCCCCGACCCGTCCGCGTCGCGTGCACGGCACGCCCGCTCCGTCCGCCGTCACGCACGGCGCAGCACGCGTGACGCGCAGCGCCGGCGACCGGCGCAACGTAGGGGTAGACTGGTAGTGCAGGGAAGCGCGGCGCGGCGCGGGCCGGCGACGGCGGGGTGGTTGAATGGGTAGTGGTAGGCGGTGGCGTGTGCTCGGCGCATTCTGGCTTCTGGGCGAGGGCGACGGATGGGGATGTACCGGGGTTTCTCCTGGCCAGCGGCCAATCATGCGTCCGGCTAACCATGATGCCGTCTTCAGATGGATTGATGATAACCAACCAACCGGAAAAGGCGCGTCGCGGATTAGGAAATTTAGTCCTTGAAATGAAATGCTTCGATCGTGACGTCCATCGTTGCGTGCCTGCGCGCCCAAATGGCCAAACCATTCCACCCCGGGGTTCCTCCGTTCCTGTACTTGTCTAGTCAGAAGTTCAAGCACGGATACACTTGAATTACACAAACACAGGTCCATTCGCAGCACTTGGGGCGCGTTCGGTTGCCCGCATGCAGCCCAACCAGACCCGCGCGGGATGTGCGTGGCCTATTTGGTTGGCTGGTTGCATGCGATTCGTGGTCTGCACCAACCTTAGAGCAACTCCAACGGACCGACCCAAACGGACGTCGATTTCGTTCGTTTTTTGTCCGTTTAGGTCGGCCAGGCGGACACGGATGCCCGCTTCCGCATTTGGGTCGGCACCTGCGCCCAATGTTGGTCTACAACCCATTTTAGACGGCGCCAAAAAAATGAACGCTTGCATATTTAAAAAAGAGAAACTACATTAATTAAACATTAAAGCCGGCCACGAAGGCCGGCGAAAGTCCATGTGTCCACATTTGCATTTAAAAAAAATAAAAACAGCCTAAACTACGAGGTGGCGCGCTGCCCTAGGCGGCGGCGGCGTCGTCCTCGGGGTCCGTGAGGTCGATGAGTGTCGGCGCCGGCCCGGCCCAGGCGAACGCCCGAGGCAAACCCAAATCACAACTTAAACCGCGGAACTGAAAACGCGGTTTTCAGTTCGCGGAAAACGCATTTTAAGAGGCGGTTTGAGTTACGGTCAAACAGACCCCGTAAACTCGAACCGTAAAAACGAATATTCGCGTATATTCTTCCCCACGTCTTCTTCTTTCCTCTCGCCCGTGTTCATAGTCAATTCCCGTCGTCCGTTGTAGTCGTCGATCGATCCAGGAGCAACTCCTCCGTTGCCGGATGGATCCAGGAGCTAGCTAGCTTGCCCGTGACGGGATGGATCCGGGAGCTAGCTAGCTAGCAAGCTCCTGAATCGTTCGTGGTGGGGTCGATCCAGGCTTGATAGCTAGCTAGCTCGTCCTTGGCCAGATCGATCAAGAGCTCCTTCGTCGCCGTAGTTGCTCGAGTCTCTAGCCATTGCTCCTGCGATCTACTCCGCAGGCCGACGCCGCAACAGCTGTAAACAACGAGTTTTCGGCGAGTTCCATGGCGGAAGGTCATCGGAGTCCGCGTGCGTATGGCGGAATTTTCTTGTCGCGTAGCGTTGACTGATTTTCAGTCTCCCTTATATTTTGCCTCCAAATATGTAAATAAAAGGGTCGTGGGATGGATTCTCAGGGGCCTGCAAAAAAATTACGGGTTTGACCACTTTTGCGGGCTCTATTCGGGACGTTTTTTGACACCTCGAAATTGAAAACGCGGATTTTTACGGGGTTGACCACTTTTAAAGGGTCTGCTAGAGATGCTCTTAAAGCAGGCCTCAGCCTGGCCCAGCGAAAACTGTCGAATCGGTAGTTTCTCGCGAGTCTGGCTCGGCGCGGCCACGTGTGTGAGGAGGTTGCACGCCTCCGGCGGCGCGGGAGACGGAGGGGACGTCTCATAACCCCCCTCCCACTCTCCTGTCATCACCCCGCACTGTTCCCACCGCGCACGCCTCGCTGCCTCGCCGCCCCTCCCTCTCCTCTCCTTCGATGGCTCTGCCTCGCCCACCGTCACGCCGTCCTCTGACCCCTGTCGATCAGCGCATCGCCAGCATCCAAGAGCGCTGGGTGGCCGGGCTCCAGAACTCGGGCAGGGACCTGGCGTCTCCCCCATCTGCTGCCGGCCACCACGAGGGCCGCCCAATGCGGTGCCGGTCGTTCCTGCTCTGATGCTATTTCCGGACCTCGTGGTCGTGGGCTCGGCGCTGGCGCCGTCGACGGAACCGCCGCTTCTTGGGACCCCATTGGGCAGGGGGGTTTCTTGACCCCCGTCCAAGGGTTTTCTCCTGTCGGCGCGCCGTCCTCCTCGACCTCCGGCGTGGCTGTCGGTGTCAAAACCGGCAGATCGCGGGGTAGGGGTCCTGAGTTGTGGATCTCGGATCGATGGTAACAAGAACGAAGGAGATGATGTTTTACCCAGGTTCGGGCCCTTTTGATGGAGGTAAAACCCTACGTCCTGCTCTTGTTTATATTGATGAAGTATCAAGTACAGTTGATCTACCACGAGATCATCGATCTGTTGTGGTCTAAAACCTAAGGGTATGATGAATAATGTCATAATAATCTATCGACTAGCCTGGTCTCGGCTTATATAATGTACCGGAGGCCTAGGATAACAAGAGTCCTAGTCGAATACGTTGGTGGAGAGGAGTCTTTGTCTTGATCATCAAGTCTTGTGGAATATTCCTTGAAATGCGACATGGGCTGCCCGAAGTGGCCCATGAGTAAACCGCCATGGGGGTCCTCGGCCCGATCCACCTGGTCGGGAGACGACTTGGTGAGTACCCCCTAGTCCAGGACATCGTCAATGGCCATGAGCATGGGGCCGATGCCGCCGGCCGTTGCCAGGGCCGGCTCCTCCTCTACTCCACCACCTCTCTTCTTCCCGACGGGGTTTTCACCCGGCCTCGGTTCTCTGCGACTGCGCAAGCTCCGATGAGTCAAAAAATCCCCAATGCTTGCTCGTAGATGTAAATTAGGGGTTTCTTTCTTAGGCATGTGTGCTAGTACTTAGTGGATTCAATAGGATTAGATAGGATTCGAGTAGATTCGATTCGATGTGATCCCAATCGAATCGAATCCGACCGATTTGTTATTGTTTGCTACAGTGTGTGTTCTAGGATAATATTCTTCTGCTAGTGCTTTCCTAGTATATGTGTTCATGCTAGAATGTGTGTTCATGCTAGAATCCCATATGCAAGTGTGCTTTGCTAGGATCTGTGTGTCATGCTAGGGTCTTGCTTGGATCTGTGTTCATGCAAATGGCATGTTCATGTTCAAGCTAGGATCATGTTCATGTTGTTGTTCATGTTGCTACATATATGTTCAAGCTAGGGTTTGTGTTGCATGCTCTAGATTGTTATACATGCATGTAGTAGGACCATTTTAGGATGCTGCCAAATGTGCATGGGTGCACATGGGTGCTTTTTTTAGATGTTTCTATGCTTAGGATAGTGCACTGATGAGTGGCAATTGCAGAAGACCAGATGCCACTAATCAATGGCACTTGCTCAGTGGCACTTACCCAAGAGCAAATGGCACTGATCAGTAGTATTTTCCCAAGAGCAAGTGTCATTGATAAGTGGCATTTGGCAAAGAGTTTGTGCACTGATCAGTGGCATTTGCTCTTGGGCAAATGTATCTAATCAGTGCCATTTGTTATGCTAGTGCAACTGATCACTGGCATTTGCAGAAGAGCTAATGCCACTGATCAGTGGTTGTTCATTTTGCAAGCACCTCTAATACTTGTCATCTTACCTGACAAGATATTGAAGAGTGACTGGGACATGGCAGGTGGAGGAGCTCAGGTGGTGGCTGGAGTTGAGGCGCCGAGGATCTCATCCCCACGAACAGGTGGCTCAAGAGGGTGGGCCTGCCTGGAAGGGTCGTCTTCATGAGCCTGCCTCATTCAAGGGGACGATCTTCAAGGACCGGCCACGAGGAGGGGGCCCGGGAGCCGCTGCGCTTCTACCAGCAGATCAAGGACGATGAAGACCTCGTCATGCTCGGCATCCCTCGCAAGTCTGTGGAGGTGATGAACGAGTGGTTGGTCATCAAGCGGCTCCCACGCGTGGTCGGGCTGTCGGCGAACAAGCACTGCGAGTTCTGGGTGCGGGTCCAGAACTTCAAGGGGCACATGGTGCTTGGCTGGGGCTGGAACTACTTCTGCCACCGCCACCAGATCGTCCCCGTCAACCTCCTCGTTGTGCGCATCGGAGGACTCGGCTTGAAGATCCAAATCTACAACCACGACTCCTCTATCATGTGCAGGTTCGCTTCAGCAGGCACAACTGCGTTGGTGACATTGAGCATGCAATGTAGTTAATTTAGGTGTTAGTGTTGAACTTATTATGGTTTGTTGCTAGAACTTATGGTATTGTGGCTAGAACTTATGGTACTTGTGATGTGAACTTGTTAATATTTTGGCCAGGAGTGGCACCCTGGCGTGAAGCAGGGAAGGAGGATGCCCCTGCTGTTAATCTAAATAGCTTGTTGTCATTTTCGTTGCTTGCTTTGTTTGATCTCATTTGGTTGTTTGTT